ATTTGATAATGAATACTGGGCATTCCGTCTTGAGATTACCAAAAATTATTCGACCGCTAAATTTCCTCGATTCTCGATGCATGGTGGTTGTTTACATACATCACTTTAGCTGTGCGCTTATCAAACAGTGAGATACAGCCAAGATGGGCAACGGACAGTAATGCATTTAACGAAGCAGCTATAGTTAAGCGGTGAAACCCAAAGCTTCACCGATTGTCAGTTTTGTCAGAGGCTTCCGTGTCATGCGCGCGGTAGCGGGCGGAGCTAAACTGGTTAGATATTCACGCTGAGGGTTGATAATAAGCAGCCGATAGAAGCAGACGACAGAACGAAATTGGCGATGCTCGCTTTCTAGCCCCTCTTATCAGCTATTATCAGTCATTATCAGTTTCAATCACGTACCACTTGTGTCCCCATCCCACTCCCCTATAGAATTGTAAGAACTAACGCGCCACCAGTGCAGAGACGTGCTACAATTTTTCGATCAAACACAACAACAAAACCACAACCGATTAATAAAGTAGGATGAGGAATAGTGGGTATTGGCTACTTTATTACTAACACTACCGCTATCTTTCACCAATAGTCATTCGAGCCACCACGCTACAGGAATGTCTCAGGAATCTTCATTCTTTGTAGTCGTAGACAGTAGAAAGATTTCAATAAAGGATGTTCACGGAACACAAGAAGCCTAGGAACGTATCTGCTTGAAACTTGATGTTCAACGACCAATTTTACTCCTGAAGTCCGCCGTGTAATGCGCGCTGCATTGCGTGGGGAACCTAAAACTCACTTAGCGAAGAAAAGCACCCAGAAAAGAAAAGGCTCCCGGAGAACGTGGGTCCAAAGATACCGCAAGCGACCTCCACCACTGAAGTCTATCGTGTGACGCACGCGAAACTGTGTGGAGCTGAACTCACATTCTTTCAGGAGCTGGAGAATGAGAACTGGTATCACGGTGCTCTTCCCCTGGAAGACGTTATTTGCCTGATAGCTGAAAGTGGTGATTTTCTACTAAGAGCGCTCGATGCAGAAGGAGGACGAGGTCCAGTGGTAGGTCCATATTGACAACTCTCACACTTCATGATTGCATGCCCCTGGGCCACCCTATCAAGAACCAGCTCCTCTCTTCTCAAGGTTCACCATGAGTTAGACATCAACCGCTCCAGCCACTGCTTTTTAAGAAGAGTGTCTTTTCCAATCTTTCCACTGGGTGTTTCTGTCAGTAACCCTCTGCACAATGTTGTAATCGTATAACTTGTTTTATCGTAACATTATTACTTTTTTGTTTGTTAACTGCTGTTTTAACGCCGCAGTTCGCGTTGCGAATGTTTCACAAGAATGCTGGGTTGTGAACAAAACTTTCGCCCCAGGCGGGACTAGAACCCGCACCTCTCGCTTTCCGGGCAAGTGCGCTACCAGTTACGCTACCGGGGCACCATTTCATTCCAACTCAGCTTTCAAAAGGTATCCATTGCTAAAGCTTTCAGCCTCGCGGTCATTGCCGATATCGGCTAACGGCTCAACACGTTAGACGTGTGAGTGCTGAAAGCTATGGTACGTATACCATGAAAAGCTGAGTTGGAATGAAATGGTGCCCCGGTAGCGTAACTGGTAGCGCACTTGCCCGGAAAGCGAGAGGTGCGGGTTCTAGTCCCGCCTGGGGCGAAAGTTTTGTTCACAACCCAGCATTCTTGTGAAACATTTCGCAACGTTTAAATTTAACTTCGTATTGTGTCCAATTATCGACAAGTCATCTGCGGCGTGAGGAAACTACTAGGCGGCGTATACTATACGTTATTGCTAAAGGAATCTTGCGCGGAAAAATCATGATTCTATTTCAGCCATAAATCACTGGCTTGAGACTCATTATCCACGATAATAGTGAAAAGAACTGAAGTATTGCTTTCGTTTTGATTAGAAATTCGAAAACTCGAAAAGGCTGCTACGCGTTCGAATTGCCCACGGACGTCTTTCACGAATGCTGGCGACGGGGATGCTCAAACTTGGTTCTTGGAGTGCATTCACTAGAAGCTCTTTCTGGCCTTCTGCTTCGTTGCATTCACATCTTACACTTCTACTCCATCCTATTCCATCGATCGATTTGTCTCCACTCTCCGAAATCGCGCGCTTTAACCCGATTCTCTCATTGCGTCGCCTGGTACGTAGCCGGCCAAACGCCGTCTTCTTTCCATGCCTCGCCTGGCTCTGCCTCCTGGTCCTTCGATGGTCCATAGTTTTTGTACGTTTGTTTCTCTTCAGAAACCGAATCTTCATGCGTGAAACTTTGTGTGCTATTTCCAGTGATCACAACTGACATATTCATGTTAGGAAAGAGTGCAAGAATTTTCCGCGCAAGATTCCTTTAAGTTATGCACTTCAGTATATCTGCCGGTAACTGTACGCATATGTACGAGTTTGAAATAAAAAAAATAATACGGTGGAAATACAATATGTTGAAATACAATGATTGAGTGAGCAAGGAAAATATTCCGTGGGAAAAAACAATAAAGGTGAAAACAAAAAGACGATAAGGCTCGTGACTAATTATGCATCGGCTATGCTTCCACTCACATCATTCGAATGATGCTGAATCCATATAATGGCTTGCGAGGGCCAAGGTCGACCAGTCGGTTTTTTCCTCACATACCGAAATTCTACTAATCGGCAAACGTTATAAGGCTTTTGTGTATGATAAGAAAGTATTCGATGGACGATTTGCCCCACTATCCTCATTATTCGAGCTGTCAAGCTGAATCGATCATTGAGATAGATGTGATTTCAGCCTTGCTTAACGGTGCGGGTAGAAAAGCACATCAAAGACTATCCGATCCACGTAGTTCAACAAAGAAATATGCCATTCTTCACGATAGATGGTGTCAATAAAGCACCTTCTGCGATTGCCATAGTGCAGTAAGTAACACGTATTGTTATTATTACTAGTACTTTTTTGTGATTTTCATGTCACTTGCAATTTTGCGTTCCATTGATGCGTGTGCGCTCTGTACCGTTATAAACATCAACAAGCACAAACATAATTTCGTAATAACCGTTGGACTAATGGCCACCGAAGAATCCCTCGAGCGTCCGCCAAACAACGGTGGTCGCCACATTTCTTTGCGAATGCTCTGCGCGAAAGGTGCGAGTCACCTGTGTATCACGAGGAAAAACCCATCCTAGCACTCCGGCGTTTGATAGGAACGGAGGGTGCAGGACTTTTGGCTCGTCCGGGCTGGCACGCAGCGAATCGCGCGTGCCAGCCCGGACGAGATGGGATGCGCGGCAATCCGGACGAGTCAAGGCTTCGCGGGTCGTGCAATAGAATTCAATACGTAGAATCATGTGCAAACTAAAGGATAGGATAACTCTGCGGTGTTGTGCTGCGGCTTGACAAGTTTGCCAGCGAGGGGATTTCGGAATGACCAGTCGGTGAGAGAGACCGAGGTTGTTGTGTGTCGGTGAGGAGACATCAGCACAAAGAGGTGAGAGAAAACCATCATGGAAATGCCACCACTATCCATTTGCCGAAGCGAATAAGAAACACTGGAATTAGGAGTTTTTACAGAGATTTACCGAGATACTGTTCTTAGTGTTAACTACATGAGCTGCCGATCGTGCGCTCATGTCCTTAAGGGACCGTCCATACAGGGCCAATGGTAGGTAATACTATGACTAAGCCCACTAGCGCAGAGAAACGTCAGGAGGAACAAATCACTCGCATCCTCCCATAGTCTCTTCCCCTCTCTGCTTAGTTCCAAGCACAGAAATTGGCTTAGTTACATGAATGCCCTCATCCCCCCTTGATATGAGCGCTCTGATCTCTACAACAGCCCTATGCTAGTTCTTTCTCATTTTTCCTCCCAAGTTTCCTTACTATCATCGCTGTCCTCATATCTTCACGCGTAAGTGTAATTTAAATCGCAGAACCTTGCGGATTTTATCCGCGATGTTGACGTGTTGAATTCCACTGCAGAAGCCCGCGAAGACTTGCCTCGTCCGGATCGCCGCGCAGCCCGCCGCGCGATTTGCCGCGTGCAACCCGGACGAGCCAAAAGTCCGTCGCCCAGGAACGGAGGCTTCGCCCGCCCGTTTGCGTACTTATGAGCAACAGAACAATAATAATATAGAAGAAGTGTACTACATATAATTGAGCATATGTCACAACTGCTATCAATGCTGTTCGTAAACAATGCAATCGTTGTCAATAACTAACAACAATCCTTCAGAAAACACTTCAGCGAGAGAATTCCGGTTGCTGGTCAAGCAATGCTTATGAGACCGATCCCAAAACAAGCATGGGAGCTCTCAAAGGACAAAATAAGACTGGATTCAAAAATTGGTGAAGGAGCATTCGGTGAAGTATGGAAAGGAACGTTGAGGCACTTCACGATGAACCTCCAAGTTGCTATCAAAGTGGTACGTTTTTTAAAATCTGCGGCAGTAGGGATGGTGCATAAATTGAAGAACGACACCACGATAAGGCCGGCGATCTAGCACGGTCGTCCCCCGCCGCTATCGCCGCTGCCTGTGCTGACTGGCTAGCCCCTAGCTGACGGACTCTAGCCACTGAATCCATGGCTTTAGCCGACACACAATACAGGGGAATCACCGATTACGTCGGCACCAATGAGACCAGCTAAAATGCGGTGTGGAACTCCGCATTTTAGCGTCGTGTTCACCTATACCTTGATTCCTGCTAGGCTGCTCTTTTATCGTGAAATCTGCATTGAATTGTAAGCGCAGCATGAGAGAATCATCCGACCAGTGTTCGCTGGTAATGGTCATTAAAGCTAAAATGAAAAAAAAACAATGTGTATCATCTTGAACTTAGTATTTCGGAGTGAATACCATCCAAACTAACGAGCAAGATATGGTACAGGGAAACCGCATTCCACCGACCCTACTGTTTTGGGTAAAATGAGGTTGGTCGACGGTTGTTCTGAACCCAAATGTTTCACCCTTCCTATTTAACCAACAACTGTCGATATGAGATATGTTATTATCATTCCAAAATGCCAAAATTGTTCAACTCTTACGTTAGAAGAAAGCTTAAATGCGAATAGGTGGAGCTACGCTGTTGGGGAGATCTATGTATAGTGATAGGGAAAAATGTTGGCGGTATTCATTTTGTGGCCAAAATCGCGTGTTAATGGAACGGTTTAGTCTGAATTTCATCAAGCAAATATGGACAGAAGTAGGTGTTCGGCAAAAAATGACAGCTAGGAAGCCGACGAAAAACTTGTGCAATTCCCGAAAAAAACTGGAGAGTGTACCTTTGCAAAAAAAGGGTATTTTTGTAGTGTATGACGGAGGGCGGTGTATGCAGTGGGAGTAACCTGATTGACTGAGCTGACAAGTAGAAAGGAAGGTTTATTTAAATCAGAAAAACAACAATAAATAGGCAATGAAGATCACGGGTTGATGGAGGGCGACGTATGTCGGCGGGGGAACCACTGAACTGAGGTCTGCAACCAGATGCACGGCGCAATTCCTCTCCAACGTGAGCCACAAAGGCGTTCTTCACCAAACCACTAAGGCTCCCTCCAACTGGCCACTGATACCAAGTCACCGAGCCATTGAGGCTCCTCTCTTCGGGCCACTAGGGCAAACCATGAGCCACTGGGCTTCTGATGTACTCGCGCCCGCAACAAAAGGCTACTGAGCCTGGGCCCTCTTTCTTACGGGCCGTACAGCTCACAACCAACTACACACTTTAAATGCACCACACAGGTGCCACTGGAACACTGGAACGCTGGATTCTGCAACACCAGAGCTCTGGAACACCGGAGCTCTAGAACTGGAACTGGAGACGAGAACACTGCAGGTTGATCCCTGAAACGTCAGGCACCACTGCAGCTCTGGAACTGGAGATGGAGATACTACAAAGGAACCCGGACCCCTTTTATTGGGACCTTCCCGCGCCAATCGGTTGCCTCTGGCAAGGCGGTCTCTCCATGACCACCCACGATCAACAACTGCCGCCTCCCCTATGATCTACTTGGTTCAGACCAGCTGATCTACAGCTGATCTTTTGGCACCATATACCTCTCTGACATTATTTTATGAATCATTGCGTGGCTCTAGGCGTAATTTAAAAAATATTATTAGCGCTTTATGCTCGTTGTGTGCATCATAACATCTTACAAACTATAGGCTTTCTAAAACAATTATAAGTTCAGACCGAAGATGGCTGGGTTGCGGCTAAAAAACAAAGCTGCAAAGATTTTGCTCACTGCAGAGCCGTAGCGATTTTCCAAAGTATCCGAAAGATGATTCTTTTACAAAAGCCTCTTAAGCACGTGCAATGTTTTATCTTTTACAAAATAATCACGTTTTTCTTCGAATACTTTTTCCAGTGCGGTAATCTTTCCTATTCAGACAAAAGTCAAGGAAGAAAACAAGGCTCTGATGCAAGAAATGCACAAAGAAGCGCGACTGATGCGACAGTACAAGCATTTGTACGGAATTACATGAGTTCGCCTTTTATTTTCAAGATCATCTCAAATACAGGGTGGGGCAAAATTACTGGTGCACCTAAATATAATGGATTTTTTTGAATCTTGTTGTACACTTTCTTGTCTAATTCTTTCATGGTATGTAGCTTGAACACTCTGCTACTAATACGCCCTGAACACAAATTGGTTAAGCCTTCCACTTTGTGAAATGCACCAATCAACCTCCAGCAGAGCGCTATGCGAAACCGTTCTCGACGATTTTTCAAATCCCCAAATTTTGTTCAAATAGCGTTCAAACTCGGTATTTGTTCAAAACCATGGGCGTGTCTTCACTTTAGAGAGGATTACTAATAATTAATAATTTCACCAAAAGGGGTAGCTTCAGGACACTGACCGTGAATGGTCCAGAAACAGTGCACCGAGCAAACCCTCAACTCCACCAATTATGACGAATGGTTCTCCAATTCTTCGGAAAGACCGATATATTTCCAAGTATGGGCTATCCTAAAGGAAAAAGTCTGCCCTATCAATTACCGAAATTTGAACCCTTCTCATGACGGCGCTTTTGGAATCCTGGGACAAAATTGATGAAAAATACCTGCGTGCCACATGGCATGCGTATGCCAAATGCTCAGAGAACTGTGTAAAGGCTAGAGGCGATCATTTTGAGAACTGTTAATACGTTTTGAATTGTCATCTTTTCTACAAATAAACACTCACATGATTAGAATCGATTTTCTGAATCTAGTCTTTGAAATGAGGGCATGGTGCCCGAGTAATTTTGCCCTCCCTGGTAGGAACGACGTCATCATCAAATTAGGGATGGTTACTAAAAAAGCGTCTTCGATACCCTAGGAATCCAGTCCGAAGATGTTCGAAGAGAGTCCATTATTATCTTTCGGAGCAAACTGCACAGTTTATACTTCTCTGTTTTTTCTGAGGATAAAGGATGGTTACTCTGTGAAAGTAATGGTGAAGAACATAGTAGGGAAATCTGCTGTGACCTATACAAGAGGAAAAGGCACCACCATTAGTAGTCATCGAAGAAAATCCGGACGTCCATCAATCAATCTGTTTTCCAAGTCATTTGCCCTACAAATATCTCCATAACCGTGGAGCTGAATGATTGCGCGAACACAACGAGGAGGAGGGCTGGTGGCCCAAAATGGTCCTACTGCGGTGAATGCATTTTTTACATCACTTATACAGTTCAACATTGACTTATGTCATTAGCATATTTCCCCTCTATTCCTCAACATCGGCATCGTTGTGACAGTAGACCTCTGCTCGCGGAACTACAAAACTGCCCCGCGCATTTGGCCACAAATGCACTCACCACTGTGACGACAAGAACTCGCCAGACGAAAAATTCAAAGGCACTTGTCCAACAAGCATATTGTACAGATCAAAGTATCGAGCACAAATTGTTTACCATTCATTTGAATTATTATCTTGGTTCAATAAATCGACTGCAAATCTAACACAAGCCTCAGCAATTTCATGTAAACCCGTCTATTCTTACAGAATTTTGAGGAACATTTACGCTTAGTTTGAGACAGAGTGGGAGTATAACCACCGAAATGTTGACCATATTTATTTATTTATTTATTTATTTAATGCACAAAGGTGCGCCATTAACACTGGTCCAAACTCAATAAGTAAGGTCAATCAAAGAACAGGGTAAGAGAGAGAAAAAAAACGACGTAAAAGCACAGTGAAACTAAAAGTGTCTAACGACAGCCCGACTCTTATGCATTGAAAAGAACTAGTAGTGAAACGAGAGGAAGAAACAATACGAAGTCCCTGCATATACCCTCACCAACTGCGATTAATGTTCAACCTCTGAGGGGGACCAATTGGGAGAGTGAAGAAAACAGACCTTGGTGCCAGGAGGGCCAATGCTGGCCACCAGCAATATGGTACCGGAAGAACTAACATTTGACCACTACTCAGCCACAAATGAATACCCACACATATAATCAAGAAGTGTAGAGTGTTTAAATGGAGCCTTTTTACTAGATAAAATCCTAAAAAAGCAGTGGAGTGCAGGTCAGCCAGGGCAACGCAACTAACCGAGGTTATTCTGGGGCGGGCCAAAGTAGTTACCTCTTTGATCTAAATACGAACCCCAGGCGTAAGACCCTGGCCCAAGTGACTAGTCTAAAGAGCAAACCACTTGTTGACCTGCACCCTGAGCTCCTCACAAAAATGGCAACTATTGCCGTGTGGATAGTGGCTGTGTAGAGGAAACAATAACAGAATGGACGCAGATTACCACCAGCTCTGGCACAGCAGCACTCAAGGCATGAAGGCTTACATTCAGAAAGAGAAAGAATGGTTGAAGTTGGTGAGGGGCCAGCAGCGAATGTGAAATGACACCAATAAGAGTTGGGCATCTAGATAAATACTAGAGGTTAGGAACATCTGACTTTTAAGCAAGAGCGATATCAGCATACGCCGCAAAGAGCTCATCGAGGTAAACAGACGCCCATCAGGTGTTGAAAACTGAAAAAGACTATAGTTGGGAACCGTCATAAAGAAATATTGAGAACTCGATCAATATTTACCTTTTGTAATCTTCTCCTGAACGTGGCACTGTTAGCGGCTTCAAGAACCTCACGAGGCAACAGATTAAGCCATCTAGCGCAGCGGTAAAAGACATTATTAAAGATAAGCGCGCGATGTCTAGCAGCAGAGTAAGCATACTGGAGATTGATCCTACCTCGTCTACAACTAGTGGGTCTGAAGACCCAGTACTTACTGGCACGCAGCTTTGATTCACTGCGGAGAACGCGAAAACAAAAAACTAAGTCAGAGATAGCACGCCTACATTGCAAAGACTTTAGCCCAAACATTCTAAGCCGTGCATCGTAACTGGGTAAAAGAT